CCGCCCCCCCCCGCCCCCCCCCCCCCCCCCACAACCATCAAGCACACATTTTCTTCTTATGCAGAGCTCTTTAGCTGGGTCCTAGACCATCTCAAAACTGCTTGTGGGGGCTCTATTACAGCAGATATGGTACCACGTCCTGTCAGCCTTCCTGCTGTATTCTATTTACATTGCCCAAATGTAGTACTTTAAAGTAACAGAGAATTGTGGTTACTTGCATGGCTAAAAAGTAGCATTAAATGTGGGGTTGCCCATAATATTTACTTCAAGTGGCAGAAATAATCTGTCTCCCCATTAGCTGTAGGATTCCAGACAAGACGGATAAACATGTGTCTTGGTATGACAAACCCTATAGTTTAGCAGACGTAGATGCACAGTTTAGCAGACATCTAAGTCTCTGTGTCAACTTCTATTACCATCAGTGCTCTAAGTAAGAGAGCAACTGTGGTACTACTAGATTTGGAAGATCGTAAGTTGTAAAAAGGTACACAATGGATTTTTTTTACTGTGAAAAATCAGGCCTATCCAAGGCTGTAGGATTACTGAAGTTTGTCAGATTGCCTTCTCTGAATCAGTGGCTGCACTCAAGTGTTTGTCCTCAGCGCTGGTGTGGGATTACTGTTCTACATGTGCATTAATTTGAACTGTATAGAGAATGAGCAATCTGATCAAAAGCACCAAATGAACTGACTGTCTAGCTAAAAAAATGCATCTTGTAGCAAAGACCCCCATAAAATCCAAAATATTTCAAACTAGATGAGGCTGAGAGATGGCTTAAAACCCAGATGGAAATTATGATAGACTGGTTTGCTATTTATCATTCCGTTTAAAATACGAAACTTACAGTTCTATGCAGCAAGGTTGCTTTGGATACCTCCTGTATGATCTCTAAACTACCATTGATTCATTAGATAAAAAGCTTTTTATTTTAAGAGAGCTTGCCTATCAACTGAGCTTCCCTGAGCACTCAACTCACATTGTTTCCATGGGTCATTTCTAGGACCACCTCCAATTTTCTAACACTTAAGTCACACATAACTTGGAGCCAATTTCTTAAAGCACAGTCTTCGGGGAGGAGTGTAAGAAAGCAAAGAAGCAAGAGACGTCATAAGTTAGGAGAAACTAGTTGTCATAACAGAAGCTCTTTACACCAACAGTAACCATCATTGTATGGAAATTACTGTCAGGAACACTATCCTCACTCTCACAGGGCTTGCGAGACAAGCCAAGCCTCGCCTACAGGCAAACCCCTCAACCTCAAAGCAAATTCTTTCCAGCAACCACACATCACACCCCCAGGCTACAGCTACACTGCTGTTTTTTTGTGGAAGAGGTTTTGCCAATAAAAAGCCCCATGGAAACGGGGCCATTTGTCAGAAAAAAACCTTTTTCGCAAGATCCCTTATTCCTCAAAAATAGCAGTTTACAGGATTTTGCGAAAAAGGGTCTCCACAGGGCTTTTTATTGGCAAATCCTCTTCCAGAAAAAAGAATTGGAAGATATGCAAATGAGAGCACAATTTGCATATCCTCTTTCGAGGGGGGGGGGGGAGGAAGGGCGGGCTGTGTAGCTGTAACATCAGAATTCATTCAGGAACCTACCCCTGCAATAAACCCCATTGCCAACTCTGTTTACACATCTATACAAGATTGTGTGTGTTCCTCCTCTCTATGTTTTTAGCTGGTTATGTCCCTCTGGGATGTCATATTTTAAATGTTTATATATATTGTTTTGGTTTTTTTGTAAGCCACCTTGAATATTTTAAATTGAAAGGTGGGGTAAAAATATTTAAATAAAGTGATGCCATCCCAGGTTCATACAACTAACTGCACAGCCTCTAATATAATATATGCCAGCAATGCCCTTCTGCCATGCATATTGGCCAAACTGACCAGTTTCTACAACAGAGGATTAATGGACAGAAGTCAGATATTCAAAATGGTAACGTACAAAAACTTGTAAGGGAACATTTTTAACCTGCCTGGACACTTATTAATGGACTTAAAAGTAGCCATTCCTCTACAAAGGAATGTTACAAGCCAACTAGAGGGAGAGTGCAGAATTGACCTTCATATGCAAATCTAACAGTCTCCCTTTGTTTGGACAAAGACTTGAGTTGGTTAACATAACACCAGATTTCCTTACATCAGTGGTCTCCTACCTTTTTAAGCACAAGATCACTTTTTGAATGTCAGTCCAGGATCTACCTCTGCCATACCCCTTCGCTGTGGCCCTGCCCTCCTAACTCTGTGAAGATGGTGTACAGGAGAGGCTGCTTTTGTGCAAAATCTTACCAGTCTAGACGCAGCCTAAGACTCTGGGCAGCAGCAGTAAGGCAGTGCAGGGAGGGGCAGCTGAAGTGCCAGCACTTAATAGCCTCCCAGCCAGACCAGTTAGGATCACCTGTCAGAGACTCCAAGATCTACCAGTAGATCCTGATCTACTGGTTGGTGACCACTGCCTTACATTAAACAAACACCCTGCTGACCTCAAAAGCACTTGCAGCCCATTCAATTAGCCTCAGTAGCACCAGGATTACAATTGACAGGTAATTCTCCCCCCTCACTCTGAGGGTCCCCCTTTTTTTCCTCCACTTTAAGATAATCTGAAGTGGGTTTTGCCCACGAAAGTTCAGGATACAGTGAGTGTTTGTGTGTATATAAGGTGCCACAGGCCTACTCATTTGTAAAAGTTGTTAAAGTAAAAGCTAAGTTTACAAAGAAGCTTCGACTCAGAATTCTACTACAGTGTAAAAGTTTCTTCTGTAGCTGATGCATTAGGTTCTCAAACTGATCCTGAAAGGTGAGCTCATTCTGTTTCTAAACAATGAGCTAAAGACCCCAATACAACTCTAAACTTCTATTCCAAAGCTACCAGTTCAGCTGTAACAAGATGTTGACTAGATAAATATTTATCATACCTTGTCACAGGTTCTTAGCTTCTAACAGAATTGAATTCATACAGAGTAATTTCTATTGATGAATCTGGAACAGCTAAGTTCAAATATTTATATACCACTTTCATAAATAACTCTATATAGAGGAAGACTATTACAATCATCAATTGATAGATTTTACAAAATTTCAGCATGTCCCCACTCAGATGTTTATAGATTCCGCCGCGCCCCCCCCCGGCACAAAAAAGGATCAAAATCTACCAGATTTAATGAGCTAAAAGATGACAACCCCACTCTTGTCTAAAAGTTTCACAGATGCTACAAGTAATGCGGTTACTAAAACTGAAGAAAAAGTTTACTCTGTTATTTGACAGTACACTAGTTAGCATTGGCAACTTATTTTTTCTTATTTGTAAAACCTCTGAAAATTTAGCACAAGGAAATATTTTTGAAAGGTATTTAGTCCATTTCCAATTTAATGAACCTTTTCTAACAGAGCACAGACAATTTCCAAATTCTGAGTTAAGCGCTCACTGGGAGGGAAAGGTGAGGTTTGTTCTCAAAATGTTTTGTCTTAAGCTTTCACAGCCTGTCTCAGAGGAAGCTTCTATTCACTTGTCTTCCTTTTTACTCTATCAGCAGAAAATGACGCAGTTCTGTGTCAAGTTCCTAATTCAGAGCCAAGTTTTCCTTTTACATATGTTTCCAGTTGAATACAACGTGCCTGATATATTTTGCAACAGAGGGTGGAGTTTGCCCTTTGGACAGACAAAATATAATATACTTTTTGCCTGACTATTCCATAATTCTCTTAAGGCTTTTGACCTAAAGAGTAGCCATTAGATACTAAACAACTGATCTGAGCAGAGATCAGGTGATTCCTATATTATCACTTTCTTTTTGCACTAGTTTAAACATGAAAGTAGCAAGCCACTAAACCTGTAGAGAACAAAATAAATGTGGGATTTCAAATGACCAGTTTATGGAACTGACTGAGACACTAGTGGAAAAAATGGAAATTGGCAAATTGTTTACTCAGTAGTAATGTGAGAGCAAATCAGAGCTCTGCCAACACAGACTAGATACAAATTTACTGTTTGACATCATTTCTACTATGTGGGCCTCAGGGGAGGGAGTTAAATTGACTGTTGTAGACATGCCTGTTATAGTGCTAGTATTTAGAAGTCTTGTGGGGAGAAGGAAGAGTAAAAAAAAATTAAACCCACCACAACAAATCAAATATATAAAATGAATATATTAGGCTTCAAATTTTATTACATTCAATTTCTTCTGAAAATCTTACCCTTCTCTTCTCTTCACGGGGAATCTAGACATGAGATATGGAAGGATAAAGAAGAACTCCACTAAATGTGGAGTACATTTCATCAGAGTCTGTGTAGGCCAATTTCCCCCCAGTAACTACAATGTTTACTTCATCTCCTGCTTTTAGATGAAGAACAAGGTGGAATGTTCCAGCACTACCACAGGTTTGTTTTCCTGATTGTGGTTTGTGATACTCAAGCAGTTCTCTTCTATAGCCAGCGGTGTGAAGCTGAGCAACACTTGCATTGGCAACAGATAGCACTGCTTCTACGTATTCATCCCTTTCAGGAGCAAGAACAGCAGTGATCAGATAGCGCCCTTCATAGGGAGATGTGAAGATGCCTGCAAAGACACTTAATTTTACTGACTGGAAACTCTCAAATGCAGTAATAACAACAAATTCATTTTAAAACTACAGAGTTATTCACTTCCTCATACCCAGACATCTGAGTAAGTACTGCCAAGGAAGGAAAATAAGGGCCCATTTAATACAGAAATGTTACCGTCCCCATGCTATATCAGATGTGTTTCATGGGCTGATAAAAGGAAATTATTTGCCCTAATCCATCTCACTTTGGGACTGCAGATAGAAAGGAATAAATGCCCCTTTGTGAAAAACCTCACTCTGCTTTCCAATTTAAATGTGGTGATGGAGGCCTGATGGCACTGCACCTCTGACATGCAGAAAGTTCAATCACATACTCATGTCTGCTGCTAGCAGCAAAGCCTTTGCCTGTATGTGGAACTATTCCAGAATAGGTTTATTCAGACCATTTAACACCTAAAAAATTGAAAATGAAGTCAAGCTAGAGAATTGTAGCTAGCACCCCACCTTTGAGATGAAGGGCACAGCTCATGCACTTCATGATTCCTGTGGCAATTACAAATGTCCTGAAGGTTTCAAAAGAGGAAGGCAGATAATGGAATGACTCAACTACTCCTGTGGCAAAGGGGAACGCTCCTTTACTACTTCTCCCCAAGCTGGGAAAAGGCTTTGGGATTCAGCCACTCGTAGGCACAAGGAGCATACTGAGACCTGCCTCCAGTTAGTACCTTAATTTTTCAAGATCCTTCAGTCTCCACATTCCTATAAGCACTCCTACATCTAGGGGAGCTAAGGAGTAGTAGCTGAGGAACAAGCTACCTGTGCCTAGGGAACTCCTTCATATGCCCCCAAAAGGGGCCTTCAATCATGTCACCTTTACTATGACCAATAGGTCTAACAAAGGACATTTACTAACCAAAAACATTGTCAACTGGGAACTAAGGCCTTGTATCCTTCCAGAATACAAGCTGGTACGCAAACACATCTCTAAACAGAGAGAAAACTGGAAATGAACAATCATTCCTCCCATGCTCTTAACTCTTCTCCCTCTCTCCCCTCCCCCCCGTCACTGCTGTGAGGAGTTGGGGGGCTGTGATCGGGTTCTGTCATGACCTCAATGCTGCATTTTCTAGTATTTGTGTTCAGTTTTTTGTTTACATTTTCTGCTGCCAACTTCCATGTGCTGGAAGGATACAAAGGCGCCAATGTTCCCTCTATGTGTGGAATGAATTATGTTATGTGCATCAGTATTGATTAACAGGCATGTGCACCACCAGCAGAAACAAAAAGCCATGATTTAAAAATATCTTATAAGTTACTATAGAGATAATTACTCCAGCCAGAATACATCAGGCATTTTAAAACTCACTACTCAAAGAATTAAATTTAAACTAAGAAATAATTATGAAATGCACAAACCAATCAAAAACTTCAAACAACAACACTTTGAAAAAATAAAATTAGAGAGAATATGTGCACATTGCAGGAAGCACCTAGAAGTAACATAATACATGTATTCAGAGGTAGATATGAGAGAGAGAGAGACAGACATCTGCTGTCCCTTTGAAGTAGATCAGCACTCACCACTAGCCTGACGTCTGCTTGTTCAGACACAGCAGCAGCCTCCAGCTAGCTCTGTCATGTCCCCATCCTCTGCCATGCGGGAATGAGATACTTGGGCCAGGGGGAAAGGGAGGACAAGACACCCTGATATCAGCACCACTCTCCTGTTTCCCACTCTGCACAACAAGCAGGAGGCTCCCAAGAGCAGCTGGCCAAGGGCTCCCAGGCAGAGAGGCAGAAGAAGTGTGGCAGCAGGAGGAAGGGCGCCTGAAGAGCACAGCACTAAAACCCCTGGGTAGCCACACAGCTTACAGGGAAGTTAGCAAGGCTCTGCTAAGCAGCCTGAATTCCCTGTAACAAAGCCACCTTGGCAATGCATAAATACTTTAACTTAAATTTGGGTTATCAAACTCCTGTGTTGGTAATTTTAACCAAGGTGGGGTCTGATTTATCTCATAGAACTACTTGTTTTGTTTCTCCAGCACAAGCACCCTGGCAACATTCAAGATAATATAATAATATATGCCATGATATTGCCCAGCCAACTTCCCAACTCCCCCTTTTGGCTGTTACCTGTGTTAGGATTATAGTAGTCTCCATCATTCACAAGTACTTTGTTAAAATGGACCACACCCACATCATTGGGGAAAGGCTTCTGAGTAAGACCAGCTGAAAAAGACACCAGGGAGGTGGCAGCAGCAGAAGGTCCTAGAATGGGAAAGAGAACAGAATCCAGACAGTCAGCATAAAGATGTCACCTTTTACTCTTGGGGCTTATAGTAGAGTTAGCTTCTTGTCTTGCACACACATTGTTTTCTGTCACTTTGGAGAGGCTGGCAGGAGTGCCATTGGGTCATTTTCCAATTGTCTCAGCACAAAAGGATTGGTAGCCATAATATTTCCTTTCATAGCTTAACCTACCCAGGAGCAGCAGAGGAACCTGACAACTGGGTTCACCTACCAGGCTTTTCTTTATCACATGCTTCTCTTGAGAGAAGATCTGCAGGGGGGATGCCCTACAATGCCATGAAGGTGTTGTCAGACTTCACTGGGGCCAGGATTTCAGCCCAGGTGTTTCATGCTGCTTTCCAGGCTCTCTTCTTTTGCCACCGATTGCTCCTGCCTCGATAATCCCTGCCAACTGTGTGCTATACTCTTCCTCAACTGGGGTTTTCTCATAGCCAGCCTCCTGCCTTATTCCCTCTGGTTCACCTTCCTAGCTCTCTCCTTCAGTCAGTGATAATGCCCCTGCTCCTTTGCATGTGTGCTTCCACTCAGAAGATCATTTTCCACTACTGGACCAGCACAACAGCACTAAAAAAAAAAAATCCATCAGATTTTACAGCTGAAACTGCTTCCAATTGTCATATTGCCCTAATACAGCTTCTCCGAGCTTCATCTACCGGATACAAAAGAGAAATAGGAAAAGACAACTCCTCTGGAGTTTTGGTAGGGAAGGAGAAGATGATGGGAAGAGAGTAGGTGGAAAGTCCATCATGGCCCTCCCAGCAGTATTTGTAGTGATAAAACTAAGGGCACCACCTTACACCATAACCTCTCAATACAGTTCTTCCCCACAAGTTTAAAGCTATTTTCTCTGAGTTTCAGATCTGAAAACTCAAGTGTCTCAAATAAAATCATGTTGCATTGCGAAACTACAGAAATAGAAAGAAAAGCATAAATAGATAACACACATACTTTATTGCTTGCCAATAGCCAAGCAGTATGGTTTGTTAGCCACATGAAAGAACGTTCTTTGCTCAGTTAATGTTCCTTATTACTCCTGCCAATTCAATTAGACTCCTCCAGGGCTAATTACACCTTATATAGAAATGAGTATGTTGATGCAGTTCGTATGCTGAGGAGCCATAAGAAAGATGAGTTAAAATATTGGGGTGACCTACGTTAACAGGCTCATGTGCAGAGAGAGTGTAAACCCGCTGCCCTGCCACACACACACACACACACTCACTCACACTCACACTCCTTCATAATCCTCCTCCGTGGGGCCAATCCTGGCCAGTCTGGGAAAGGCAGGGGTGGTGCATTGCCGCAGCCTCCCCTCCCTATGCTCTGGCCAGCCAGGGGAAGCCTGGGACTGATTCTTCCCTTCCTCCCCCAGGAGAGAGGCTGGGGGCACCCCTCCCACAGTTCACACTCCTCCCAGACAGAAATTTGTGCATACAGGCCTGATTAGCTTAATTCTACTTACACCTATCTCTAGCTGCAACTCTGGTGGCATTCCTCTCTTCTGGCTTTTCAGCATGTAAGTCACAAGACCTTATGATTCCTCAAGACTCAATGGGCTGTATTCAGAGATGAAAAATCCCACAACCACACATTATACTTCACACACATCTTGCCCTCCCCCCAAGGAAAAGATAAGAGAAAGAATCAAGAGTGGCATGTAATGCCCTCTTCTGGGATGCTAACCACCCAGCCCTGCCCCTTCCACATGAGCACCCCATTCCTGCAGCCGGAAGAGCCTCAGACCAGACAGGTCCCTGACACTGCCACCCCTACAGCCGAAGGAGCAGGATTAACCTCATGAATTCTTATCGGTTACTCAACCATTCTATAGTCGCTTCACTCTCAGGGAGCTCCCTGCCACTCTGCGCTGCTACATAAGAACAGCCATACTGGATTAGACCAAAGGTCCATCTATCCCAATAGCCTGTCTTCCGATAGTGGCCAATGCCAGATGCCCCAGAGGGCATAAACACAACAGGGAATCTTCAAGCTTTTCCTCTCCTGTCACCCATTCCAAGCCTCTGACACCATTCCTGCCCATCCTGGCTAATAGTCATTGATGGACCTAACCTCCATGAATGTATCTAGTTCTTTCTTGAACCCTGTTAAACTCCTGGTCTTCACAACCTCCTCTGGCAAGGAGTTCCACAGGCCAAATGTGCACTGTGTGGAGAAAATACTTTGTTTTAAATCTGCTCCCTATTAATTTAATTTGGTGACCCGTAGTTCTTATGTTATGGGAGCAAATAAATAACTTTTCCTTATTCACTTTTTCCACAGCAGCCATGATTTCCAGTGGGGTGCCAGGTGAGAGCTGATCCACGAGGGAAGCCAATTTAAAAACCAGCTCCCCTCTTGGACTGGCTGCCTGTAGCCCCATACTGCTGCCTTTTGTACAGAGGCAGCAGCGCAGGGTGACAGCAACCTCTGTCCGGGGAAGTGCTGAGCTCCTGGACCCGGCATGAATCGGAACTAAACTGGGCTGCCTGCCTGCCTGGCTCCTAATACACTTTAAATTCAGAACTGCAGTGGGGGTAGGATCCAGACCTGGCATGAGCCAGGACTGTGCGGGCTGCTGGCCAGTCTGCTAAAAAACTTATAGGCAGGGAAGAGAGAGAATGCATGTAGTCTATAACATTAACCGATAAGCATTTGCAGTTAATCGACTACACTATTACATCCCTCAGTCACACCATGGGAAAAGTTCTTGCGTCTTCCCAAAGAACCTGAACTTAATAATAATCATCAAAAACTTCCCCCATACAAATTGCCCAAACCCACAACTGCACCAAGGAAGGCTTAGCCCATGTTAGCCTATTATACCTGCCATCTCCCCACTTCCCCCCCCCCAGAAAGAATGAACCACATGTGACTTATGTTCATCACACTGCTTCAGGCTCTGGCAGGCACTCCGATACTGCTGTGATGAGGACTGTACAAGAACATGCATAGAACAGTATAGAAAAGGAAGCATAGGTTTATAATTTACACATCAGTCAGCGTGTGAGAGCCGAAGGAGGTAACTCACTTCTAGGACCCACCAACTGAAAAGAAGGATAAACTTACATATAAATACAACAAGGAGTGCTGTGGCACCTTAGAGATTAACTAATTTAATTGAGAATAAGCTTTTGTGGGCTGGAGCCCACTTCATCAAATGCATATCATAGACTCTCTAAGGCTTTGTCTATACTATACCCCTTTTAGTAACACAGCTGTGTTGCTAAAAGTCAAGCAGTGTAAATGATGTTTACACCTGGCAGACAAAATACTTCCACTCCTTACAAGCAGGTTTGTGTTGTCCACAGAAGAGACCTCCTGCCAACAATGAGCCATTTACATTGCCACTTGCCACAGCAAAAAGTGTGTCCTTCAGGGGAATCTTTTTCTAAGCACCAATGGGTGACAACATTTTGTTCAATGGACAGTGTAGACAAAGCATTAGAGCCACCTCTGAAATTGCCACTAAGTAAATCTAGGGACTTGTCTGCAGGAGTTTGGCAAAAAGTGCCAGAGGGATGTTATATTAATGTGAACTAGGTGCCTTTTAGGTTGTGCCAGTAGGATTTACCCAGAGCAGTTAGAGCACAGGATATTAGTGTGCTTTACAAATCATACTGCTTTGCTGGTGCCATGTGACAAGTCATAAACAGTATGAGAGGGAAATAAGTGGATCTATGCTGCTTTACCCCATCTGAAGTCAATTAAAGTATATTGATTTATATCAAGTAAGGGTCTGACTCTGAGATGAGTCTGGGTAGTGGGTTTTTGTTTGTTTTTAACTCTTGCCACTAAACTCTGGCCAAGAATAACACTCTCGCTGCTTAGTTTCATGATGTTTTTCCCCTGGATCTGTTAGTAACATTGCCCTGCACCTTGTCCTTTATGTTCCTCCAAATCCCACCTCTGAATTCAAAGTGACAGAATGCTCACTTTAGTCCCCTTGCATTCCTGTGTCCCTTACTCGATTCCTCTTCAGATATCACATAGCTAGACATCAGTCAATATCAGCAATTCTTAAACCATCTTTGCAACAGACATTTGTGAACTGAGTTCTTCCTCCAAGCCTAACAAGTAAACACCAACAGAAAATAGAGCCCTGATCCAAAGTGGGATGTCCGTCACGATGACAATATTTAATAGTAAGTATTAAGATAATAAATGTCACAGACTTCTACCAAAGTACTCTAAAACTTGCCTTTTGAGTAGGGATGTTAAAATATATTTATTTAGGTAAATGTGTAGCTGCTGAAAATTTCAGGGTTTACATGCATGGAGGGATGGTGGCTGCTCCCCAGGAGCTGGTGCACACAGGGAGCCAGCTTTTAAGCTGATTTCCCCTTCTCCCTCCTCTCCCATGCAGTGTGGGGGGTTGCGGGTGGGCAGATAGCTCCCCTAGAGCTTAAAATCAGCTCCCACCAGCATCCCCAGGCTCATTGGTTAACCATGTACATGTTTACACATTCACATCACTACTTTCAAGACAATTTCGAGAAGTTCATGATAGCTAGGTATTAGACAAGAATGAACAATTCAGAATCAAGCTAATATTTGATACAGAAATATCTGAATGTTTTATTTATATATTCAGAAGGATAAAAGATGTTCATCATCAATTTACCCACTGACTCTGCTGCATCTACACTTTGGATACAGTTTCTTTTTTTAAAGGAACCATCAACTTTCAGTAAAACCCTAGTATGAGTAGGTAATCCTCACAAATTGCAATAATGAAGACTGTGGAGAGGGACGCATGGGAGGAAATAGTTAAGGCACAGGACTGAATGAGAAGATCAAAGTCCTGTTCTTGGCTCCATCCTTGACTTGCTATGTGATTTAGATAATGTCTCTCATCAATTCCTGGTCCTATTCGTCATGTCCTGTCTCTGAAATTCTCTCAACCCTTAGTGAGCAAAAATTCTAAGAAAATTCTTCCAGATTCCATAAAATTCTAATGTGTTGTTTTTATCTGCTGTTGCTATTCCTTTCAACATTGATTTTCAACTAAATTTGTTCTGTCTAAAGAAAGTTTAGGAGGCTCGACTTTGATCCTATCAATTAACTTTTGTCAGCTCCCCTACCCATAAAATAGAGCTAACAATTGCTTACCTCAAAAGCAAACTATAAGATTTAATTCATTAACATCTGTAAAATGCTTAAAGAACTTTGGATAAGTAGTGCTACCTAAGTACAAAGTACATTATCTTCTTGGGTTTTATTTTTATTGAACTGCAGGTGAACTTGAACTTTATCCATTACTTGTATGTTAATGGACATTTTTGAACTTGAAGAGGTTAGATGAAATTCTACGATACAGAAAATATATAAATTTTCATTCAAGAAGAGGATCAGACAGTCCAGGGGACTGGAACAGAACCATCAACTCTGCACTTACAACACTTGCAAAACTGAAAGAGCAGAAGTTAAGAGAGTGCTGATTGGGCTAGTCTAATAATCTAAATCTCAGCCTTGAAATAAACAATTATTTTGAGAAACACACAGCCAAACACAAGAAGGGCCAGTTCAGCCCTATGTTCTCTTGAGATATAAACTCAGTACATAAAACTGAATGGATGTGGGCTTTTGGATGAAAAATTAAAAAGGGAGGTGCTCCTCTGCACGGCTGTTAAAGATTTGATGACACCTTGGAGTAAAAGCTTTTGCCAGTGTCTTCAACCTAAATGTCTCCTTCCCCAGCCGTTGCACAGAGTGCTAAATGCTCTGCTCCAGAGGTGGCTGCCTTTCAGTGATGTTTGTATAAATATGCTACAGTACTAACTGCCAGAGCGCATCCTCCACTCATAAATGATCAATAGCTCCAGTGACATTTGCTGATGATCTACACCAAGGTATTTATCCCATGTTCATCACTATGTTACATGAGTACGTCTGATATCTGAGTTTGAGAGGCACTTTCAGATGGAGGCTGTTACATATGGAGTGTGTATATAATAAAAACACTACTGTTATTTTCAGTTTTTACTAATTATAGTCTAGGGCAATTGAGAAAAAGTGTAGAGATTTAGCAAAGGAAATCTTTGCTACATTTTCCTCCTTAGCTAATAGATAAAGCTATGTGGGTGGTGTCTTTTTCCTTTAATATATTTCCTGACTGTAGATAATAGCTACCATCATAAAACATTGGTTTTGTATCTCAACATCTTTAACGTTTGAAGCACATTATACAGTTATGTTTCATATAGTTTTACCATAAACTAGTGAAAACACTGTGGTCTATAAAATGCAAAATACTGGTACAAAGGAGAAAAACACATTGTGAGAAGAGAGTCTTAATATATAAGTCTATACATTTAACATGGATTTTGTTGACACCAAGATAAATAATTTTTCTTTATTTATTTTCCCTTTCCAGAACCCTAACCTATTGCTTCTTGTGGGTGTGGGAACACTTCCCAAACATAAAACCTCCTCTAAAACTACTTTAAGTTTCTAATTAGTTTTAACCTGGAGATTATAGCATGAACTCTTACAATTGTCTTCATGTCAGTTCCCAGACCAATGCATCATGCCTTGTCTCTGCAATTTTCTAAGCCCCAGCAAACAAAGTCCTAAAGAAAAGTCTTCAGATGCCATACAATTCTAATGTTTCATTTTTATTTGTTGTTGACATTTCTTCACACAAGAATTCAATTAAATCATTCTCTATAAAGAGAGTGTAGGAGGACCCACTTTGATCCTGGATTACAATATTAATTGCTAAGATATAGAAAGGACTAAATTGAAATTTATTTTTTAACATCGCAAGGAAGAGATTGTAGGGTAGTCAGATCACCTAGCAAACTAATATTTGGGCTAATTAAACTAATAAATTCTGTTCATATATTGAAAGGATTTAAACGTTTTGTAATACAAATGTCTTGGTATACAGAAAGTTCAACAGTTCAAATAAATTAAGCTAGTAAATTACCTTTTAATGTTGATGACACCAAGTGACACCCTGGCTCCACTGAAGTCAATGAGAAAATTTACATTGCCTTCAGTGGAGTTGGGATTTCTCTCAAGGAGAGGGGCAGCTCCCTTTCTAGCTAACGGGGGAGTGCACTGGATTTTGTAAAGTAGGCTGAAAGGTGACAATTTAGGTAATTAAGGACTCCCTCCTCCATACCATAATTGCCATAGTTTCTGATTTGTTAAATGAACCAAATCAAATACAAATTTAGATTTTGTAAAAACAAAGCTTTTACAAAATTTAAAGCCAGTAGAAATATCAAATGCTCCCACATAGTGCTTGGAACACGGACATGGAACACTGAGATCTGTAAGTTAAAATGCACATGAACAAAGTGAAACTGGTTTCATTAACTTTCATTGTTTGAAAGGAAAGATAAATAAAAAAACCCAACAAAAAACAAAGTGTATAAGAAATAAAAAGTAAATTGGATTTTTGTAGCTCTTAATTTAACAATCTAAGTAACAGATAAGCAATATACAGGCAGTCCCCGGGTTACGTACAAGATAGGGACTGTAGGTTTGTTCTTAAGTTGAATTTGTATGTAAGTCGGAACTGGTACATATTGTAGGGGAAACTCTAGCCAAACATTTCTCCAGAGCTCAGTTTTATTCTCCCACACCTCACTAACCTCAGTCCTTTATTCTCAAGCTGAGGTGTCTGCTGAGAAAAGCCGCTTCGCGTCTCCCTGGTCTGCTGGGGGGAAGCAGCTAGTGCGGGGTTGCCTCACCCCATTTGTAAGTAGGGATCTGATGTAAGTCGGATCCATGTAACCCGGGGACTGCCTGTACTTGTTTACAATAGGATAATTTAATCAACAACAGTGTTGCAAACTGAGGTTTATGACATTTGTGTTTTTCTTAAAGCTTCATCTTCTAGAATCATATGATTATGTAAGTATCTTAGGTTTTCATTTGAAAAGTTATTAGCCCTAGTAGTTGCAGGGGGAAAAAGTATGAAAAAATTAGCCCTTAAAGGCTCAAAAATTAAAAAGGTAAATAAAAAAGAACCTCCAAATTACTATTTTTTAAAATCTGATTTTTACCACGTGCATGAAACCAGGGACTCATTATGTTTGAACACTTGGAGTTGGCAGGATGGTGTTTGAGCAGGCCTGGGCAAAATACCCTCCATGGGCTGGATCCAGCCTGCCAAGCCACCAGATCTGGCCCATGGACACAGAAGGGAGCCTCAGGAAGACTCCCTGCTTGCCCCTCGCCCCCTCCTCCAACACTGCTCAGAAAAGTGGCTTCCACAGCAGTTTCTCTCTCTCAGCTGTGAGCCAGCGGGGAGTGGTGCTTCACGCACTGCTCCCGCTCCTAGCACAATCCCACTGGCCAATTTTCAGCCAAGGAGAGATGCCTGCTTGAAGAACAGGCAGCAGGTGAGGCACCATTCCCCAACTTCCCCTCAGGCTCTTATTCCTAACGCACATGACCCCTGCAGCCTGAGCAGAGGAGGAGTGGCAGGCAGGGAAGCTGCCTGAGAAATGTGCTGGGTTGCTGGCCAGCAGTCATGTAGGTAAGTTTCCCAGCCAGAAGCTGCCTGTGGCACCCCAGCCCCTCCCTCCCTACCACTCTTGCCCCTCTAAGCCCCACATAAGTCAAAACTTCTGTTCCCCTCCTAACCCGTAACCCCTTCCAGTCCTTGCACCCCAGTTCAGTGCCCCAGGTCATAACTGACTCATTCACCCAAACTCCCTCCCAGACCCCACATCCTCTCCTGCACCCCAATCCCTTACCCCAAGCTCTCTTCTGCACCCAACCTCCATCCCAGACCCTGCACCTCCTCCATTAATAGCATGGAAGTGTACAGCCATGGACCACTTTCCAAAATCTTGGAGTGGTTCCCCATCAAAAATTATTACCCACCCGTGTTAGAGTCACTTTAAAGTTAATGCTAAATCCTGAAAATGACCTATAACTTTCATGTAGTTCTTTCAGTAGTGACCTTCCAAACACTGAAAGAACAAATTAAATGTGTGTTGTGCCACTTTCTCCATTATCTTCTCATACTCCACATGCCCTGAATATCCTCTCAGCCACAACATGAGTGCTAGTGTGAATAAGAAGGGGAGAAAACTATCATCCCTGGTGGTTTCTAGTATAAAGAGGTCAAAAGTGACGCAATGCCCTAAAAGAATCCACATTTTTGCCCTTCAATTGCACCCTGCTAGAATTTTCCATTAATGAAATAAGTGAATAGTTGTGCAAACAATTTCTAGGTAACAAGTGAATTACCTTGTGAGTCTGTAGAAGGTGGAGAAGATTTTGGATATCCTACAAAACAAAGGAAGTTATGTTACACAGTGACTAACAGTGTAAATATCACAAAAGTTTACCAAATAGCAACTCATTTCTACAAGTGCACTGTATCAGATGGCAGAAACTTGTATCACTAAAACTGTTATTCAGTAGTAGCCATAGCAAACAGGATCACATTCCCCATTACAATGCATCCATTCTGTTGTATGTACTTTGGCAAAACAGGTTATTTTAAGCTACCTTAGTGATGCTTAGTTTCGCAGCTGAGGACTACACAGCACCTGTATAGGATTATACTTGGTGCAACTTTGGCCAAGGAGGCAAAGTTGACTTGAGGCCTTCTTTATGTCTCTCCTGGTGAATGCCAGCAAGGGGCAAAACAGACAGCATGCAAATTAAATCAGCCAAAGACTCATCTAATAGAATAGCTCAAATATATGCCAGTTATGCTTCATTTCATACCCTACAGAGGACTGGAAAAGTGTATCACACTCCAGTTCTGCCACCTTTTCATCTCATAGCCAGCCCCAATATGCCCTCGGCAAGCTACGGCAGCTTAAATGTTATCTTATGTGGAGAATAACAGGCTCGCTCATGGATGGTGATAGCACCGCTTGTCTTATTTATTGATGAAAGACCCTGCTAGTCTATAACCTTAGTAGAGCTATGTGTTGTTCTATACTTTAATATATGTCCAGTAACACTGGCTTTGGGATTGAATATTATAGAGCAAGCACGTGGATAACAAGTCTGTTTTCTCACCTGGTGCTCCCGCATATCCTTCTGCTATGGGCATGCTATACTGACCATCTATGCCTTTTGGTCGTCCACTTCCTGACATTACAGCTTTGCCAGGAGGACCAGCCTGTCCTGTCTCCATAATGATCCCAGTTGATCCAGTGTCTGAACCGGGTAATGATGGTTGTAGGGGAGTTCTGGGTTGTGGTGGCTGAAGAGGAATGCTTTGTCGTGGTGGTTGTATTACTATTCTTGGCTGTGGTGGTTGTATTACTATTCTTGGCTGTGGTGGATGCAGCGGTATTCCTGACTGCGGTGGCTGTAGTGGTGTTCTCGGCTCTGATGAATGTACAGATGTTTCTGGTGGCGGTGGCTGGAGGGGAGTTCTCGGCTGTTTTGGCTGAAGGGGGGTTCTCGGCTGCGTCAGCTGGTGGGAGTTATTTTCTTGTGGTATCCGCAGTGGTATTCTTGGTTGTTTTTCAGCTAAGTATTGTAAACAGAAAAAAGTCAAATATCATCCATCTGAGTAAATTCATAAAACCCATTAAATTTATACTTAGATAAAACAAACATTTTAAAATAAACTGTGAGCTTTAGTTTCTTTCCTTTCTGAAGATGGAAAAGTATAAAACTCAAGATTCTTCTGTTTTAAAAAGAATCATGACACTGAAGGCAGATCCATGGTTACAATTTACTGAAAAAAATCTTCACTGTTTGGAAGGATCATTGTTAAATTACTTTTCTAGTAGATAGCCAATGTACTATGTGATATCAGTGCCAGATAGCTTATAATTGTGTAGCTGTTCAAATCCCTTTTGATAGGGCTTACAACATATTCATAAAGAATTTAGTCCCAACTGAATCTTAGAAATGTAATGTCTTCCTGAAAGTGAATGTGCATTCTTTGCACAAAAGATTAATTTTTATACAGATTTAAAAGATAGGAAGGGTGCTAGAAAGTTTCTTTGAACAAAAGGCTCTAACTTCCAGTCCCTGCTTTCAATAAAAACCTGTCTTGTTTATTTCAAGATGGTCCATCTCTATTTAAAATTAACCACAAGTTAACTGTTATTATTTATGCAAGTTTTACTTGTTAAAATCCTTGGACGTCAGTAAAATTACTCATGACTAACACTGGTGTCATTGAGATAAGAATCAGGCCCATTAACTACACTGCATGTCAATGTATGGTGAGCTTCTATATCCTTCGCTAACATTGTTATACAAAAATATCTCTAATGTCTCAAAAGCAAGGACACTCAAGTTAAGAATAATCATTAACACTGCATATTGGGTAACATTTTCAAAAGGTCCTAAATTTTTTATGAGCCTAAGACTCACTGAAAGTAATTGAGATTCATGCTCCGTGGTCGCTTAGAGTGGGTGATATGTCTATATGGGTTGGACCTCCCTGGTCTGGCACCCTTGGGACCTAACCGGTCCTGGATGAGGGATTTTGCTGCACAAGGGGATATTATTTCTGCCCCTCCCCTCTCTAGCTTCCCCCCACCCCCTGCTTGCAGGCTCCTCTGCCCCCCATCCTCCCTTGCCTGCCACACCGCACAGTCCAGCTGGGGCATGCCACCCAGCCCTACTGCAGCGTGTCAAGCAGCCCCAGGTCCTGCCGAGGCTCCTGGCTCTGCTGGGCAGCCCCATTGCAACACTGTGGCTACATTGGCTGGCTACACTGGTAATTACAATGGATAATGTGTGGGTGAAATGTAAAAATTTTGTCTAACTAAATTGGAGGTTGCAAATGTAGACTCCAGCTGTCTGAATGACTCACAAGGCCTTTTACTTTGAGGGAGGGAGGGGAGTAATCTCTACCACAAATTCAGACTTTGGTGAACTGCCTCAGTAGGTTAAAAATCAAGCACAGGTGTCATTTGGTTAGGAATAAATTAAACACTTGCAGTTCACTTTGCTGTTACAAAAGTCTTTAAAGTTTCATGATAAAAGCAAAATATTTTAACATGAATCAGTACAAAGTGTATATTCCATTCTTTAATCCTGTCTCTTGTGGACTGAATTACTTAGGTAACTTTCGGCAAAACCTTGTGGTGTCTAGTTCTTTATCTTTCTCCTCTCGTTGCAGTTTTAGAACTTAGTCTCATTCTAAAAACTCCACCTAGAAGGGCCAGGAGTTTTTCATTGGGAGCTATCATGTGAGGCACATGCTATGAGAGCATTGAGTTTTTTTAGATTAGCCTTTCAAAATAGTGGAAGACCATAGGTAATTGAGATGGAGAACAAGGCATAAACCACCTAAGATAAGAGTAAAGATGCAGGATTTCTCATTACAATTAATGTCACATTTGCAGTGCAAACTTCTTACCAAAACAGTCTTAAAACAACACTTGTATGTTCCAGTGTATTTATCAGAGATTCAGGACTATAGACAGTGTATTTCAATGTGCGATGAGGATTTGATCACACTAGCCAGAATTGTGGCTTTTTCTTTTCAATATTTCAGAATATCAAGGGTGTCCCAAAGGACAAAAAACATATTACGGCAGGAAAAAATTGAGCTGAAAATTTTCGAGCTGAATTATACTGTCACACGTATAGGAATCTGGAGTAATGCCTTTTACTTGAATAAAGTTACTCCAGATTTGCTGTCGTGGATTGGCCACCCGCGCTCTGGGC